GTTGATTGATCTGAAATAGGAAGATTATGGTTTTATCTTTCAAAAACTTATGTTTTGTCAAATATTTTGCATGTAAAATGACTTTTTTTTGCAATAAATACCACCTTATTTGATATTTTGTAATCTAATACAATGACCTTTTAAAGGGGCCATATGATGCTTTTTTAAAGATCATTATTTGGTGTGTGTAGCTTAAGTGTCTAAATACATTCAGAGGTTTCTAAGGATTCATTTATTTACTTCAAATAAAAATGGCAATGGTACAAACCTTTGCTTAAACTTTAATCCAGCAATGAGGTCTTCCTTGAAGATTTCACCGATGTACTTTAGTACCTTTAAACATGTCTTTGTTTCCCGGCGGACCGATAAAATGTGCACTTTGACTTCCGGAAAATACGTAAAGCTCCAATCATACTGGAACTCACGGATTTGAACTTCTTGTCATTTTATGTTTCATCAGACATTCCATAGGTTTGCCATCTGAGGCTACTAACACTCACCTGGATAGAGTATTATGTGACGCAAAAGGTAAGAAGGGCATTCATCACAGAGACGGGATGTTTTCCTCTTCTCAGGAAGTTCTTACATTTAAATTGAGTGTCCTCGGAGAGTCAAAGCTCAGTCTGGTAACTCGGTAAGGACTTCCACTCCTGTCAACAGATTTAGATATAGGAGGAGAGAGATTAGAAGAACCAGAACCAGAAATAAAGTAACTATATTCTAAACTGGAAAAAGGTTGAAAGTTGAACAACATATGTGCCAAGAACTCAAAATAGTGAGATGATCAAAGCTCTTTCCACTGAGAATAAATCTAGTCCAGCACTGAACTGAAAGGAAAAGACAACAGAGTAGTGTGTGTGTGTCACAGTGGTCTATCTGGCATTCTCCGCTCTTCGCTAATCAACACATTTTGCATGTGACCACTGAAAATCAGCAGGTCGTGCTGGCAGCAACGGAGCAAACCAGTGTGTGTGTGTGTGTGTGTGCGCACTGGTTTGGGTGGTTTATGAGGACACAAATTTGAATAATGACATGGGTATGACATAAGAATTACAATATGAAGGTGGTTTATTAGGACACTTCCTGTGTCCCTGTAATTCAAAAGGCTTTTAAAAAACATACTAAATGGTGTTTTTTTTTAATCTAAAAATGCACAAAGTTTTCTGTGAGGGGTAGGTTTAGGTGTAGATGCATTTCTGCATCTATAGATACCTATATGCCTTTAGCAAAGTCGGAAATAAACGTTTCTGGTCATGTTTGTCCTCATAATGTGTCATCAAAATGTAATGTAGCTTGCTGCGCCTTTCCTTTTCAATTGATTTTTTTTCTTCTTAATTTCAAATGCATTTTATTCAATCCCATATCACATAGAGACTTCACCACTCAATCCATTTAAAATCAAGTTAGAAATATGTCAACTGAAGTAAAAAGGTTTGCAAATGCTGTTTAATGTTGACTATAATGTCACCATACATACAGAAAGAACACTGCAATGAAATAATCAGTGGGTTTGTCTTGTTTTCCAGCATTAATATGCAAACTTGCATAAAACAAGCATGAGATATGACATTGTTTACAGAAAAAAAAAATTATGAGGTTTATGCTAAAAATATTTGCCAGTGGAGTTATTTTAATTCAAAGTGAAAATGGGTTTATTTGTCTGATGCCACAGGCCAATTGTATTTTTTCTTGTTTTATACATAAACCTCATTACATTAAATGTAAATTTATCTCAAGTAAATAATGCATCAGTTATTGGAAAACAAGACAAAAATACAGTGTTAAAAAATGCATTGTTTTATTCGTTTTTTTTGGTGAAGGATATGTATCTCTGATAACATCAAAGGGCATCAAACCTATAAATCCCACCACTACAATGCTTAATTCAAGCTCATTTCCTATTCTGGCTATGAAGATGCTTCCTGCTTACTGATTTATTTGTTGTGGATTGTTTGGTGTAATAAAAGTCGCATCCTGCAGGATTGAATGTGGACAGAATACAGTCGCATCTGCTCTCCAGCACATGAAAGCATAGCTAACAGTCTAACGGTGGATACATCAGCTTGCATGTGGTTTTCCAGCATTAATATGCAAACTTGCATAAAACAAGCATGAGATATGACATTGTTTACAGAAAAAAAAATTAATGAGGTTTATGCTAAAAATATTTGCCAGTGGAGTTATTTTAATTCAAAGTGAAAATGGGTTTATTTGTCTGATGCCACAGGCCAATAGTATTTTTTCTTGTTTTATACATAAACCTCATTACATTAAATGCAAGACTTAATATCTCACATCATTTTTTTTTTTATCTCAAGTAAATAATGCATCAGTTATTGGAAAACAAGACAAAAATACAGTGTTAAAAAATGCATTGTTTTATTCGTTTTTTAGGTGAAGGATATGTATCTCTGATAACATCAAAGGGCATCAAACCTATAAATCCCACCACTACAATGCTTAATTCAAGCTCATTTCCTATTCTGCCTATGAAGATGCTTCCTGCTTACTGATTTATTTGTTGTGGATTGTTTGGTGTAATAAAAGTCGTATCCTGCAGGATTGAATGTGCACAGAATACAGTCGCATCTGCTCTCCAGCACATGAAAGCATAGCTAACAGTCTAACGGTGGATACATCAGCTTGCATGTCTTTGTGATGTCCCAAAGTGGCTCATTGGAATATTATTACAAATAATTCCCGCCTACAGAAATTGGAATGGTTGGGGGGTGGGGAGGGGGAAGGTGTTGTTTAGACCCCTGGGTTGAG